TATATATATATATATATATATATATATATATATATATATATATATATATATATATATATATATATTGTGTTGCTAGGCAACGTGTGTGATTCACTGGTGGTACTCGTGTCGGATTTACTCACAAGAGATGCCGAAGGTGATGTACGGCCCTTATTGGTATATAGGCTTAAATAGTATAAAGGCTTAAATAGTATAAAGGCTTAAATAGTATAAAGGCTTAAAGGCTATAAATAGGACCGTCCTGGAGAATTTATACCGCTCTGCACAAAAAGACACGAAAGTTGTTGGAGGGAGATACTCAACGGCTTGCTATATTACTGAATCGTGGCCATTGTTACTATACTTAGCAAAAGTACCACAACAGTCCTGGGCAGGTGATGCTGGCAAATACTATTAAGCCTGGGTGGCAAGAATCTAATAAAATACGACTAAAAAAGATAATGTGCAAGTATATATATATACATATATACATATACATATGTATATATGATATAATATAATATATATATATGTATATATATATATATATATATAACGACTTTGGAAGTTTGAATATTGATATACTTTTATTTCATCTTTCATGTTACAAACACAGCCTTTCATACACACAGATACGCGCATATACTATTGCACATAAGTATTTCCATTTCAAACGTGTACTTTCTACACGCTTGCCTTCTTCAGGTTTTCGGGAGAGTCCCTCTGCGGCAGCACTTTACCGGAGTGACTGCCGACGACAAGCTCCTGTTCCGTATCGATGTTGTCCACATCCTTTGTGCGAGTCTGATCACCCCACATATTGCTGAAATCGTTCGCCTGAGACTCTTTCTCTATTTGATGACACCTGCGCATAGTACATCCAGTATGAAAGTACAAATAGCTTAATGTTAGTAACACCGAACAGAAAAGACCGCCAGCGTAGAACTAGCAACACAAAACACAGAAAGACGACAAACTTAGCGTACTTGCACACATAATGGTGTATAGAGACTCATAATATATATATATATATATATATGTATGTAAATAAATAAATACATATATATATATATATTCAAGCAATCACATGCATTGCTACATAGAGATTCGTAGTATACTTTCACATATATTGGCATAGAAACTCGTACGTATACATACATACATACATACATACATACATATATATCTGTCTGATATGTATATACATACCTTCACGTGAATTGGTATATAGAGACAGACATCAATGTACGCATACGCGAGCAGACTATAAACAACGGTATCCGTGACAAAAAGTGCTAACGGAATTTTGGGTTTTTGTCAAGTAACCAACAACACCTCATTTGTTCCCATGTTCAACCTAATACACGCATGTGACTGAATTGTTGAAGGTCCAAACTCCCACTCAACCACAGTGATACAGGCGATATACCACTTAACTACATACATACACGTGTCTGATTACTTACGTATTAAAGTTCTACATACATACACATGACTGATTACTTACGTATTAAAGTTCTACATACATACACATGTCTGATTACTTACGTATTAAAGTTCTTCGCAAAAGGGTTGTCAGCACCGAATGGGCGGGTGGGCGCAGATCTGAGACACTCCTGCACGTAGGTGTCCTTGCGCAGCTCAGGTGCGGCATCTCCGTCCTGCGTCTCCTCGTCAACCACTGCATAAAGGAGTGCATATGAATACGTGTGTTAATGAAATAGTCCGAGAAGTCTTCCGAGCACACACATCTCAGCATGGGAAGTAAGAAGAGGCATGGTCGTGAGAGGTGAGCAGAGGGTATAGTTATATGCTTGCGGCGATAGCAAGAGATTGTGACACAGCCACATACTGAGGAAAAATGCCCTAAAACCATTTTCACTACAATGCTACACGGAATATATATATATATATATATAAATGTCCATAGCCGATACGAATCATGCGCCATGATGAAAGGATGACTGACACTCGACGAACCAACTACTGGTGGATCATCGACAAAAAGTAGTACTCAACATGGTACGTTTCTCTCAATACACGAAGGGACACCCCAACACACAACACACTCTTGATACCTTCATATATGTGCAGGAGAATGCCTGTACTTGCAGACACATTGACAACACTATAAACACAGCAACAATACAGACAAATATAATAACCATAATACCTACCTAGCGCAGTGTTGAGGGGCAGATACTTGGCGGGTCGGCTGTACCATTTATTGGTGAACCTCCAGTAGAGGATAGTCGCAATGATCGTAGGCAGGCAGACGAACGCCCACCCAGATCCCTTCGCGCCCAGATATCCAAACATCACCACCTTAGGATGGAGTGGATGTACAGGATTGATATACAGCGACACACACACACATACACAGAGAGGGTCAAAATGTAAAACTCCGACGTTGGTAAGTTCATCGCATGGTAACTCAACAACATCTGAGTTTTATTTTGCCAAGTATGCCGAACGGTAGCCCAAACACCGTGTAGAGGTTAGAAGGGCAGTGGGAAATTGTAGCGGCGTGAATAAATTTTTGAATGTGCAGAGTGAGGGACGTTACTTGCCAGATGTATACCTTTGCCAATGTTCCATGAGCACAACAAGCGTGGTACATATAGTTGAAACAGCAATTTCCAAAGCCGAGTTATACCTGGTACAGAATAAGACTGGCCATCGTTCTATTGAAAACCATTGGGAAGAACTCTCCATAACCCTGAGGATGGAGATTAATTGTTACTGTCAGAAGGTACAAGCATGCATGAGGAAGACAAAATTCAGAGACGATGGCGTGGGAACATGCCGGTAAAGAGCAGTATCAGAGAACGATCACGGTCGACAAGCTGACACGCACACGCACATATAAAAACATACAATCACGTGCTCAATAATCGTAGCGAAATCACACACGCACTTCCAACCCTCACCACACGCATACACTCTCTTGGAACACACCTCATAGTCTGGCACGGGCTGAGAGACGTACATGACCTCGTACTTGAAGGTGAACATAGCGCACACGTAGTACAATATGCAGAACGGGATGATCAGCGATGCCATAGACGCGTAGGTTACTCCGATGATAAACACCAGCATGATATCACCGTAAGATTTGGCTGTGCATTGGAGATGAAGGGTTGTTCACAGTTAGCGCCGGCAAATACATGACTACAGCACCACATGGCGCATATGTACACTACACTGATAGTACATACTCAAACACAATACCACCGTACGATTGGGCCGTAGATCGAAATTGGAGCATTCTCATTCAGTGTTAAGGAAAAGGAAGAGGTACGGGATTACGTAGGAATTGAATAACATGCTGGTGGTGGAGTGTGTGTAAAAAAAAAGAAGCTTGCACTCCGAAAAACAATTTTGTTGCGACTTTTCGTACGCGTACACGCACACGCACGCACACACACACACACACACACACACACATATATAGATATATATACATACAAATATACCTACACAAATATACATGCAAATATAGATACAGATACACACAATATACGATTATTAGTCGAAATGTGCACCACACGCTTGATAAAAACTTGTACGTCTTTCTTTATACAAATATATTACAGGAATTGATATATTACAACGGAGAAGTATCGCAAATGAAACTGCGATCATCAGCAGCCGTACTGACTGAATTCATTCCGTAGACCTTTATTCTGTGAGAAGCAATAGTGACCACACACCCTAGCCCCTATTCGTAAATAGGCACTTATCACTAAAGATACACACCTCCATAAACCTACGGACGCACAGACATATGCACCCATTCTTACCATATTTGATCTTGGCCTTGGGGAACCAGACCTCGGCCCTCTCCCTGGGAGTCTTGGCCAGCCATTTCATCTTAATCCAGTAGATTGCACCCCCTGCAATATCCGCAAGCACACCTGGGAAACTACCCGCCGTCTTCAGCATGATGAAATTGATGAAGAAATTCGCAACTGGAAATGAAATGAAATGTAATGGGGCGGGGTGGAAAGGTTGGTACGTGTGAGTAGGTATAGAAATAGTAATGGGGTGGGATGGAAAGGTTGGTACGTGTGAGTAGGTATAGGTATAGTAAGTCTATCGGAACAATCGGAATTGAATGTATATAGGTATAGTAAGTCTATCTGACCAGCTGGAATATAGGATGTATGGGGTTTAGTCAAAGGCTAAACATCTGGCGGAAGAGTCAAGGTACATGCAAGTACATACCTCCCGGCAAGGACTCAGTCAGAGGATCAACCACAGAGTTAAACCCGCCCGTGCCCTCATTGAAATCATCCACAATCTCCTGACCCGTGGCCAACGCACCGCCAGCCACAGTGGAACCAATGAACACGTTGATGACGTAGAAATAGAACAGCTTCTCGAAGGTGCCCTTCTCCAGGTCACTGTGCTTGTCTTTGCCTTCCAGGATGGTCAGTCCTGGCACAATGAAATCGAACAAGAACATTATATGTGGAAGAAAGGTGAGCGGGAAGATTTGTAGCGGGAAAGACCACTACTTTACTGACACATAATCTGCCACCTAGTGAGAGTATACAGCGCACGTAGAAAGATTGCGCGAAAGGGAATAACACCGTGCAAAATACTGACTTGTCGTGCTTGGGATAGGCACACAGGTCGGTCTTGAACAGACACGTGAATACGCACGAGAATGACACGTCGGAGGCCCGAATGTACATACATTGGAAAACCACAAATAGAGACACGTACGAATGCGTACATACATTACATACGAATAACCTTTACACATTGACTGAGGCAGATGTTTGAACATACCTCTGCAAATGAGTGGAAGAATGGCCAAGAAGATGGTCAAAATCAGCGTGGGCATGACACCCTCGAGGATACCTCTGACTAATGGGATGGCGTCGATGATGGGTGTGATCCACGAGAACTGCTCCTCCAACGCACACAGATTCGTCAGCGCTGAAAGAGCCATGACATTGGTGGTTGTTTATAGAACATAGATGTGAAGTTTGATCTGATTGGGCATCCACCTATCACCCGCCAGGACCACAAAAAAGGCCCGGTTGCACACGACAGGATTCTTAACACACGCAGCACCAAAACACACACAAACAACATAGATACACACCACACACAAACAACATAGATACACACCACACACAAACAACATAGATACACACCACACACAAACAATATGGATACACACCACACACAAACAACATGGATACACACCACTCACAAACAATATGGATACACACCACACACAATTAACAAATATACACACCACACACAAATAACATATATACACACCACACACAAACAACATATATACACACCACACACAAACAACGTTTTAGGGTTATACACTCAAACAAAATATATAAACGCTCGCAAGTCAACGAATGGATGAATACGAGAGGTCTCATTGCTGACCACACGGAGAAACGTGTCGTGGCCAAAACATGAACCCCCAACAGATCTCTCCAATATCGCCATGCCTAGGCGTCTATGAAATAGATACAATACCTAGACACTCACGCAAACGTTTGAGTTCAAATGGATGCACACACGATATTTAGTTTAATTGCAAATAATTGCATGTACAAATATATGCAAGTACTTGTGGGAAATCGATAAGATACATTCATATAAAGCATAGCTACGATTTCAAAGGAAAAGTAGGTGACAAGGTCGATGTGAAAACCATATATAATTCGGCGGCAGTCAAACCAATGGGCGCACACACACACACACACATATATATATATATATGTATACATACATTGGATGAACGCGATAGGGATCATGTACAGCATAACAATCATCCAAGTGATCAGGTATATGATCAGCGAGCGATACGGCTTGTAGCGCTCCAGTTGGCCCATGTTAGGCCTGCAAATACGGACGATGTGGAGAACAAATCAGTCGTGAGAATGTAGGTGACAAACGTTGTATATAGCCATAATGTGGTGTAGGAGACAAATGTATATAATCACAATGTGGTGTAGGAGACAAATGTATATAATCATAATGTGGTGTAGGAGACAAATGTATATAATCACAATGTGGTGTAGGAGACAAATGTATATAATCATAATGTGGTGTAGGAGACAAATGTATGTAATCATAATGTGGTGTAGGAGACAAATGTTACACATAACCATAACGTGACTCGAACATGGTACGAAAGCGGGAGCGGCATCAGGCCTCCAGTATGTGTAGATACTCATTTGAGTACACACTCGTAACTAGCAAGTGGCAATCCAATTGCTACACACACATACCAGTACACGTTGTTTGCTTGCGGGGCCGGTCTAACCTGGTAGACCTTCTCACTGTCTCGGACGAGTACCTGCATATATTTGTACATAAACACATTTACAATTAAGTTCACTGTCGTGAGTACATTCAATTAAATCCAGACGTATGCGCGCGAGTCTAAGAAATGTCGGCGTGTCGCGACAGGAGGGAGACGTGTCCACGGGTGTGTGGGTATGTATTATCTCCTCATATTCAAATCATCTCTCTGCGTTACTAGCCAGTACAGATAGATCAAACTTCGTATAAAACCTCACTTTACAATAATAGTCGATAGTGACACCGGCCTACAAACCAGGAGAATATCTCCGGTTCACCTGCTCTAATCAAATCCAATTTTATCTGTTCTTCTTCATCAATAGATAAATCTTTTTACCTAACTGGTCACACTGTAATTATACAGTGTTGAGATAGAGTCTGACTGTCTGAATAAATGATATAATAAAGTATAGGGTAGTCTATCAGAATATTGGGTAGTATAGGATATAATTCTAGAAACACCCTAGTGTCTATTATGTAGTCTGTTTATATCGTGACTGTATATATTATGCAACAGTCGATACTTTCCTGATACACTACATATATGAATGCACACAACATGCACATACATACATACTATGCAGCCAAAACCATACCTGAGTGGCTATAGAAGGACTCTCCATATCCGTGAACGTTACAAACGCAGCACCATTGGCGGTCTTTTCCTTCTTCTGCTCTACAGCCAGCTCTTCGTTGAGTCTATTCAATTCTTTAGTCCAGTAAGGCACGGACTTCACTTCCTCACCAAACAAACCCAAGAAACCCAAGCGGTGTCTACATACGGGAGGCAAAATTTTCATCTAATTATACTAAAGAACATGACGTGGAGGAATGCTATAGGCACAATGTAATAATGTGACAAATGATATTTTACTTGTGGCAAAAACATGAGGGTTAGATGAGCGTAGAACGCGCACACACAGACATGATAGGGCATGTTTGTATATTTATTTATTCATAAAGGTATGCATATAAAATACAAGAAGGTACCACATGGTTAACGGGGGTCACTAGAAACTCAAAAATACGTCACACACCACCACAATCTATAAACACGCACACATAGGCAAATGTGCACACAAACACACATCTGTAAATAGTCACCGAAAACAGGGAGATAGTAAACTTAATTCTATCCGGATCCCGGGATACGTCTGTCAAAATCATAACATACATGTGACCGAATGACTAGTGAAAATGGGTAAGATTTTTAGCCATCTACCATGCTACCATACACACACGCTGAAGAATACACTATACAAAAAGACTACCCGTGCGTCGAAGCCGGGCCCCTTTTCAATGATTCACACCCCTAGCCTTAAAAAGTCTTACACGATTTACAAAAATTTAGTACAAGAGCTTTACAGATGACTCTCCAAAATGGTAAAACTACACACACGCACACGCACACGCACAAACACACATATACGTATGTTCACACTTGTAAATATAAATATACACATATACACACAAATATATATCATTAGATACATAGGTACTGCTGACATACTGGGGCTCTTCTCCAGTGGTGTCCTTAGTCCAAAGCGCACGCTCCAACTTTCGCATTGCCACTTCTCGTTTTTGAAATAGATCCTCACACTCTTCCGGATTCTTGTGCACGACGACATGCTTGACCTATTGGCAGATAAAGGCGCACTTGTCAGAACTTACGCAGGGGTGGAGAGATAGTGCATATGAAAAAACTATCAAAGCCACGGGCACCGACAGAAATGACACTGAGCTCAATGCTGATGGTATTGATTGTATGTGTATGATACAATAAGACAGAACGCTTATGAAAGTGTCGATACAACCTCTGTATATGTTTCAATATACAAAAGATTGGTAAGAATCAATAACATTGCAGGTTGTGTATCTCACAAACGCACATATCCTAATAGTTCACACAAATACATACATCCCCACACATCCGTGATTGCAGATAGATTTCCCGAAAACTCGGGCACAAGAACTGGAAGCATGCACCCCATATGCACGCTTCGGATATTCGTCTTGAGATTACACATACCTTATCGGGGAACATGCTGTTGAAGAAGTTAGCGATGGACCCTTCCGACAGATCCTCCTTAGGAATATCCTTAACCAGTGCAGAGTGACAGTGGTCGTCCTTCAGCAGGAACGCTCTCTGTCTGCGAAGCACGTACTATGTGGGCGTTTGTGGACGGCGAGGAAAGGTGACATGGAAGAGTTCAATCAAAGATGGATGAGCGTAGATGTGCCAGAGGTGCACAAACGAACTTTTGAAGCATGTTTGTGAACTTGTGGTCTACCGAAGGTGAGGAATAAGGAATTAAATGCATGCAGTATGAACGCTCACTGTGAGGTATTGAATCCATGCAGTATGGTCACTCACTGTGAGGTATTGAATGTATACAGTATGGACACTCACTGTGAGGTATTGAATGCATGCAGTATGGACACTCACTGTGAGGTATTCAATGCATGCAGTTTGAACACTCGCTGTGAGGTATTGAATGCATGCAGTATGGTCACTCACTGTGAGGTATTGAATGTATACAGTATGGTCACTCACTGTGAGGTATTGAATGCATGCAGCATGGACACTCACTGTGAGGTATTAAATGCATGCAGTATGGACACTCGCTGTGAGGTATTGAATGCATGCAGTTTGAACACTCACTGTGAGGTATTGAATGCATGCAGTATGGACACTCACTGTGAGGTATTAAATGCATGCAGTTTGGACGCTCACTGTGAGGTATTGAAGGCATGCAGTATGGACGCTCACTGTGAGGTATTGAATGCTTGCAGTATGGTCGCTCGCTGTGAGGTATTGAATGTATGCAGTTTGGTCGCTCACTGTGACGAAGCACATACTTTATTGACGTTTGCAGACAGTATATGAAGTGTACACGCTATTCCATCCAAGTTGAAACACACAGGCAAGAGACAGAAGCCACCTCGTAAGGTGAATATGCTGCTATACGGTGTCGCAGCAACTGCTATACAACGCACACGATAAAAATGAATCCCAACACATACAAATCCAGCCAAGCTAACGCAGGTATATATACGCAATAGGTACCCTAGCATATTTACCGCCACAGACATACTAACACAGGTACACATACGTATTTGTATTCGCGATGCATTAGTATCATGACGATGACGGTGAAGAGAAGGACCGAGATGGCGTGCGCAATCATCTTTGCGCTACCATCATCGATGTTACCCAGAGTGAGTGCATCCAGTTCAATTAGACCCTTGCCACCCGACACATTGAGAGGGATCAATACAATAACACCTGGTTGTTTGATAGGGTGAGAAAGTAGAATGAGCAGGCAGCTATGTAAAACCTTACACGACTATCAGTCAGTAAAAACCGAAAAACTGGTCGCTTTTTGATAATGATCGGATATATATAGGCTTTCGATGTATTTAACTTTGATTATGATCGAATTTATTTTATTAAGATTGAATCTATGAAACTTTCGATATCAATTTCGAATATGATCGGAATCATGAAACATTTCGATATAACTTCATGCACATACCGTATGGGAAGAAGCAGAGGAAGATCACGGCGAACATTTTCACCACGCGGTAAATCATCATGGCATCCAAGCCAGCGGCAGATAGAATCTGCGGATAAACCGATGACAGGAAAACACTTGAGGTATGTCTAGAACGAACACATACGTACATTTAGAGACTTACTAGGTGGTTCTACTGATGAATGAATATGTGTTGATAAGAGTATCAGGACATGGCTTTAGAGACATTTGGATAAGATGAGGTAGAAGCAAAGGCAGTGTGGCATTTGGATAGGATGGGGTATATGCAAGGGCAGAGTGTACTGCCGGGCATATTAAATAGCGGTACTGTAATGTGCATCTAATAGTGTGGGAGCAATAGGGACATATACATGAACTACCTCGCACAAGCAGTCACAATTGTCAACAGAGCATACAACTGACGACAAGGATAACTGATCAGACCTACACGTGTGAGTCAGATAAGATACACGAAGTTACCATATCTAATTAAGAAAGGCGCATAACTTTTAATATCCGTGTACTCGAAGGGTTTAGGTAGTTTTTATGTATCATATAGCCAGTTAAAGTGTTTCATAATAAAGCTAGCTAAAGTGAAGAGATAATTGCTCTCATATAATCGAAGAAAGTACAGCCGATAAAGTATAGTAGATTAGACGGGCTACAAATTTTATTTCCCTCATATTTAATGTATATTGTTACTTCGATAAAATGGAGATCCAAGCCTACAGCTACAAAATAGACACGATTGTTATTTTTATTTTAAAAATAAACAAACAATTATACCTTTTTATTGAAGTTTATTTACAGTATATATTACATGCATATACACACATATATATATATTCATATACCTATAAATACATACATGTACATATATATATATATTTATATACGTTCATACATCCAATACACACCCACCGACCCACTCACCCGTTTCTATATATATGCATATCCACATATATTTATATATACATGTACCCTTGTATGATCTAGGGCACATACATACGCACATACGTACATACACACACACACACATATATATATACATGATATGTATATATACAAATTTGTATATATATATATATATAAATATATATATATATATATATGTACATATTTGTATATATACATTTATACACATATAATTTTATAAACACATAGATTTCTACAATATATATATATATATATATGTATAAATATAAATATATAAATATATATATATATACATACATATATATATGTAGATTTCTATATTATATATATACACACATATATATGTACACGTACGCACACATACACATAGACACGCATGTAAATATATATATATATATATACACATTTTAACATACGTAACCCAACAGATGCCATATATGCTTTTTTTAATGCGCTTTGTCATAGCCTTCTTGATAGACACGAGAGCTATGTCTTCCAACAGTACTCGGGGAATATGAGTAGTTCTTCACATCACGTGCAATAAGTTTCACTTGGACAGAAACTAAGCAACAAACAAAACAACACTGAAACATACATCATCATCGCCAAATTTCCAGAACATCGGCAGCCATGAGAAGTGCGTATATGGTAATTTCGGTACATCCTTTGTGCTGTATATTAAAAAAAGACAAAGACATAAGCGACATGTTACATAAATTCGGCCAATTACATAATTGAGTACCAAGCACATTCCTTTATATATAAGATATAGGATGCAAGTTTAGAGTCTCGGTGATAGTCGGTCGGTGCAAATGATATACACAACACGCGTACAAATCTTACGATAAGACAGCCCTATTGTGCATCGGAATTAAATATAACAAAGAACGTATAATAATGCATCGCAACCGAATGCGACACAAAACATATATGGTGCGTCGCAACCGAATATGACACAGAACATGTTTTTGCAACGCACCCAAAATATGAATATATTCTGCGCAATCATGTATACAAAGGATATAGGGTATGAATCGCAATTGAATTTGTGCGTGACATGTGATACATGTCCATCAGTGATGCTATGGCATTAGAAGAAGGCTAAATTATGTTCATATACTTCAGCCGGCGATGTTTGATACTGATGGGAATTTTACGATAACTAGTAAATGTGGCATTTCCAGGAGGCATAAGCAAGTTCGTGCACTCCAATCGGTGATACTTGGCATATATCTGAGGCCCCTACGATATCTACCAGTAAATATTACAATGCGAATACAGATCTACAGACAAATAGATGCCAACGCACAAACACTACACGCTATAGCCTATGAATAACATACACGATGCTCAGTTGTCGCGGAACGTATACTTTTGGGGATCTCGGCCTCCAGAAATAGAACCAGCACAAGAATATTGCCGACAAAACTGTGTTGAATACTAAGGCAGTGATAAAGGCAGCCAAAGAGGGGTTCTGAATGTCATCACCGTCGGAGACACAGACGGCGCTCGAAGAGTCGCTCATGTTGGTTATATGAGAAGTGCGCGATCGGAAGTGGTATTGGATGACGTCTATGGGTAAGGTATGTTGCACGCTAATACAAGCTCAAGCTGAGATGCATGTAAGAGAAATATGACAGAGAAATCGGATAATATCGCAATGATGTGGTTTTGAAAAGAAAAAAAGGCAAGTACATATATAACTACGCACACGTAACCCCTACTTCTTGTAGTGATCCGATGTTCGCCAGTGCGATTAATAAAAACTTATCAGTACAGTTATAGTAAAAATTAATGAATAATTGAGATCGTTTTGTGATTTGTGATTTGACAGGAGCCGAGTCCGTGATTCAAGTGGGACACCCCAGCCAGGGGCCTGGGCCTGGGCCCAGGGCCCCAGAACCCTGGGGCCTACTTTCTACTACTATTTAGTAGAGGCGGCCATGGGCCAGGCCCCGAGTGGCAAAGGAACACAAACTCCAGAGGCCCAGACCCAGTCTCTCTCTGAGAGTAGTGGACTAGAGGTACACTGCTTGTTTTATATGTTTGTTCAAAAAAAAACAAAAAACAGTAAACACCTTCCCCAGGAGTCGGACCCCCTTAAAACAAATATGTACTGTTGTACAGACAGATAAATTTGTCATATCGATTCATGACGTTTTTGGTTGGTACATACAGTTTTTTAGTCCACCGACTCAGCAGAGTATGAGTATATTTAGAGTATATTCAACCCAGAAGTGCCACAGAGTTTGTGGGGACAACCGGCAATCAGCGACTTAATTTGCACACAATAAAATATATAACGCCAATTTTTTAAATCATAGAAGAATGGATGACCCTATAGTGCTGCAATCAAGATTTGATCATGTGGGGGTTTAAAAATATATCCAATCTCCAGTGATAATTAGAGTAGTGAGGCGCAGCATAACAACGGAATCGATAGTCTAAACCTATTAAATCGCTCCAGATGTGGTAAACTTATCTCCCAGAGCACTTTAAAATCAACTAATGAAGGCTTGGTTTCATCAAATTTTGAAAAGTCGAAACTGATACTTGCCAGACACACAAAATGCATTGGCTGATTTCGGTCAGAATTTTAAAAAGTGTGCAAACTCAGCCAATTATAATCAAAATTGCTAACTGGAGTTCCGGACGCTTGAAAAACATCTAAAAAAAAATACACGAGGAGACTGGAGACTGGAGACTGGAGAGTTAAGAGTATAGACTACAGACTCAGTACATATTTACCAGTAGTCAGTAGTCAGTAGTCAGTACACTCACACTTCACAGTCTCACAATCATCACGCTTCTCAAGTCGCCAGTCACCACTCAGTCACTCACCAGTCACCACTCAGTCACTCACCAGTCACCACTCTACCAGTCACCACTCTACCAGTCACCACTCTACCAGTCACCACTCTACCAGTCACCACCAGTCACCACTCACCAGCTACAATGTCACGCTATCCATTTCATGATTTCCATTCCCCTCCCCCCCGCGGGCCCCGCCCCTCAGGCCCATGCACCCAGGCCCCAGCTAACCAGCCCTCCAGGACCCTCAGCGCAATTTAGTTCAGCCATATTATATTCCCCGAAGGGAAATAGAAATACTGTGATGGGAGGCAAACATTTGGGGTATACATATAATTGCAGGGGTTGACACTTGACAGTTGACACCACCGAAGTCGAATCTGAACAACCAATAGAACGAAACCTTTAGAAACGTCTGTTCATTGGTCCGTTCAAAATATGATGACACTTTACAGTTTACAGTTTACACCACGTGTAAGAAACTTTAATATCGTATTTTGAAGCATTTTGTGGCCCAAAGTTGCAACGGTAGGACTACTTATCGAGTGCACATTTGAAAAATTTGACAATCACTTTGTCCCAAATAAAAGAGTTAGAAAACTTTATTTATCAAAAGCTACCGATAAAAATCAAACGTTTACTTCTCGTGTAAAAACGTCCAACTTATTGAGGTTAGATGGGCTCCATACTTACTGCCATGGGCAGTAGTTTTTGTTTTATTTGTTTTTAAAAAAAACATTCATTCGACGACACATGTGGTCCTGTGGGGAGTGAGGACAGGGGAGTTGGGGAGTCACTGGCCAACTGGGTCTTTCGGAGACTCACTGGGAGTCTGGGTCACCGAGGAGTGGGGACTACGTGTTAAAAAAACCCCCATATTCTTCTTATCTCGATTCCCGCCTACTATCTAAAAAAATGTTTTTTTAGGCGGTTCGGATTTGATTCTGTGGTTGGCCGTTGGCGGCTTGGCACCCCCCCCCCCGGTAGTATTTTTGGACTTGAGGTACGTTTTGGACTTACAAATTTGTAGTACATACAAAAAATACGGGTTTTTTTTGGGCCCTGCGCCAGCCCAAATCAGTGTTTACTAGGCTCTACTATGTGTCTCTAGATCAGGTCTTTCTAGAGAGTCCAGACTCCAGAGAGTGGACCATTTCGAGATTCTTGTCCTACAAGAGGCTACAAAACTGACCCAGGTAATCAAGAGATTCGGACTTTGTGAGATTTGGTGGTCACATTCACTGTCCCACACGAGGTACATTTAACATTTTGTCCAAAATCGTGGGCATTTTGCAATATTACATAGTAAATAGCTATGTAAAACGTGCGTGCGTCAACGTGTTCGATTGTTGTAGTAGAATCCCATTTTATATATAGTATCTATCGCTGTTCAAACATCCACATATACACCGTTCCTATCCTACGAAACAACACATATCCAACATGACTTTGTCAGAAAAATCAACGAAAGCAATCTGCAAGCAGGTCGAGGTAATAATATTTTTTGTAGTTGAGCGGTTTCTTACTGTACATCAAGCAAATTCACCTGTTGTGTTTTACGGTTACACATACATTATATATATATATATATATATATATATATAATATACACACATACTAACACACACACACATATATATATATATATATATGTATATTTATATATATATATATATAAAATATATATATAAATATATATATATTATGTGTGTGTTTTCCTCCACCTCACGTCTCTGTATTTGTAGCTATGTAATCTGGTGGTTTGCAGCATTTGTCCGACCATTTATAGCTTGTGAGTGATATTCCTCTTGGAATTTATCTAGCTTGAACTACATGTGTCGCAGAGTTATTTACATCTAGCTATGTATACTTTCGACAGTGGAGTACTTCTGTGCTGTTACTGTATCGGTGTAGTCGATTGAGAGTTTTATGATTGTGCATATACCCACCCGTTGAGTACTAATTCTGGCTATTTCTCTGCCGCTTTGGAAATACGTGCGTGGGTAAAGCGAAATTAATTAGAGAGGCTCTAAGTGTGGCAAGCTCGAGCTGTAACTCGTTTTTGCCCGCTTTCTCAATTTACATCACAATGTGTGGCACGTTCGTTTTATTACTGTATGATATGATGATCTAAGAAACTGGTAGCGGATTTTTGAAAATTGGTTGTCTCTATCTGAGGCTATTTGTTAGAGAAGGTTGATGGGCATAAGAATAATCATCACTAGTTCCTGGCGTTTGCCAGACATAGTAGAGACTGAGTTGGTGATTTTTTTGTCGTCATCATCTCTGCTTATAAAAGGTATTAAGGTGTGAATGCAAACCAGTATGTATTATAAAGTTTGTGCATGCTGTACAGTTCACTACAGCACCCCATGACGCCTTTACAGCTCAATTGCGATGAAAAACGAATGTGAAAATATAAGTTTCTACTTCCAACACGAGGAAGGGCGTGTTATATACAGTAGGCTCCGAAAGATCTAGTTTTTTTTCAGCAGATTTGTGTCCACATTCATAACTGGTATCGTACGGCTATTTCGCTAGCTTTCAGAAGATTCTACGTAGACGGAAAGGAATTATAATTCTCAGCGTTGGCCGTATTTTCTCGCCCACTATGTTGTATTCAAATGATTTCTAGTTGTTCGAGGGTTGCTTGTATTGTGTGTTCTGTATAGTATGCGTCTTAATGCAACGAGTAGGATATTGTATGCTTACAAATGTTATCACACCCTTTTGGCATTCCTTTATTCACTTCGTATCGTCTTTGTTGCTCTTTTTCTTTTCAGTACTACTTTTCGGACTCGAACATCTCCAAGGACAAGTTTCTTTTGGCCAAGGTGAAAGAGAATGCCGAGGGATGGGTCGATCTGTCTGTACTGGCTACGTTCAATCGACTTATGAAGTTTGCCAAGAATGTGGAAGAAATCGCTGAAGCTTTGAAGTCAGCTAACAAGGACCTTATTGTTCTAAACGAAGAGGGAACCAAAGTTAAACGCGTGCAGCCCGTCCCAACCTCGTACGATCCCCGATCTCGCACTATGTACGCCAAGGGTTTCCCCACCGACTTCTCCATCGACCAGTATTTGGCGTATTGGGGCCCCAAAGGTGATATGCAGAAAGTCACGACCAGAAGAGACTATGAAACCAACAAACAGAAAGATAGCTGTACCGTCGAGTGGGCTTCAGAGAAGGAGCTGGAACGTGTTGTAGCTGAGAAGCACACGATCGAGATCGATGGAGAAGAGAAGGAGATTGAGGTCAAAACCTGGTATGTCTAGCTACATATTGGAGTGTATACTACCTGTGTACCTAATTATCTTAAATTGGTTTATTACGAGCGTATGGGTGTGCAGAGTTGGAAGGTAGTAGGTGTGTGCAAGTAGATGGACGAGAACTTAATCGCCGGGTTTATGTTCTTCAGCCAGTGACTAGAACGTGTTCTCATCAGTCGCGTGCGTTTCTCTACCTTGGTGCTAGTGATCGCCTACAACTGCATGTTGTGCCTGTTGCATCCCGTCTGGTTGTCTTAGCCTTCGACCTGTCACATGTGTTGAGATATCAGCAGGTAAAGTGTGGTCGGTCATGACATGATCAATAGCGGACAAAGCAGAGTTCCGAGCAGTTTGCACATGTTGGAATTCAATAGCCGTACGTCAAGGAGATCGCATACATATCCACAAGCAGCGGCGCTACTACCATAGCTTGAGTCTTTGACAGGGGTTTCATTATTTGTGATTCTCTTGGCATCGATTGGGCTTTACTATAGTCCCACAGGAATTCCATATCTCTTACTACTGCGCAGTTTTGCGGGCTCTATTTAATTCTCGAGCCAAGGAACATCGAGTTAAGTTGCTTTTTGGATAAGTTCACAATCTTGTGTTCTCGTAAGATTCTTGTCACTGATCGGTTTGTTGTGCTCTCTCCATAACCAGGAAGGATTACTCTACAGTTAAAACAGCCGAATTCGCTGAAAAGAAGAGACTGGCACTCGAGGCAGGACTTCCTGATCCCACGGAGAAGAAGCACAACAAAAGAGACGGCGCACAATCCAGCGAAAAGAAAGAGCCTGAGCTTCAGTGGTCTGTGGAGGTTCCAGGATCTCTGGTTGAGGTTAAGGGTCTACCATCAGATTTCAGCTTTCTTAAGATCAAGGTATGGATGGATATCTACATCAGTGGGTTAAACGATGTCTGACTTTTGTTTTGCTGCCAATATTGTGCAGCAGCTGGTCTATGAACTACTTCCGCGCACGTGGCTGCGATTATATACATAGGCGAGTAGGGTATTTCTGCAGCTTTTTTTTCTTTTCTGACGGTTTACTAAATAATTCTGTTTATGTATTTACAGGCTGCCATCAACGCCACGGAGACTTTCAGATGTGCACACGTGTCTCGAGAGGCAGAGGCGGACGAAGCGGTCATCCGTTTCGACAAGGGTCAGGCCGAAGAGTTTGTCAAAGCTCTCGCAGACAAGTCGTTTCAATTCACCGAGAATGATAGTGAACATACAATCACTGCGCGGGCCCTAGAGGGTGCCGAAGAGGCTGCACGATGGAAGCACAGAGCGGAGATGGCGCAGAACAGACAACAAAACGGCAACAGAGGCGGCAACAGAGGCGGCAAGCGAGGCGGTCGAGGGGGACGAGGTGGCCGCAATGACAGGCGCAACAACGACCGTAACAACGAGAGAGACAACGACGACTCAAAGCGCGCCCGTGAGGAGACCCAGGAGGAAAGTGCGGCTGTTGAGGATGGCGAGAGCAAGAAAGTGAAGGTCGAGTCTGAGCCCAAGGCCATCGCCAGCGCGGACACACCAGCCGCCTCCCAAAGTGAAATTAAGGCCGAGAGTGCACCTGCGACTGCCGTGTAACTGACGTCGGTTTGGTGTTGTATCACCCAGTCACTACGTCGTTCCGTGCGACTTGGATGAACATTCGTTGGTTGTGCCCAACTACGTCCCAGCTCGGGCGGCTGGGTGACAGTAACTTAGAAACGCGAAGTACTTTTGCTTACAGAATCGCCGCGGTTGGGAATGTCGGCGACGTTTGATCCTCCTTTGCTAAATAAACACATTATCAATTATATCCTGCAGTGCCGTTTTTATCTGTCAGTATCTTCCGGTTCGAGTTGAATCATATTTGGCTAGTCTGATGCCTCTACATGGGCGCCCTACTAATATATATATTATTAAATACGGATGACAGGGTCTGGCGTACCCTTTGGAGATAAAGTAATTTTACAATTGTGTGCTACAGCAAGTTCATTTATCATTATCGTGACGTGTGCGTGTCGACCGACAATACGGACGGCACCAGATGTAAGTTACGAGTCAATCTCATCTGTCAGCCACAAAATTAGACTGTCGCCATCACCAACAAGGGAGGATGATCTCGATGCCGTTGTGCGCAAACATATCTCAAACATATCTACGCTAATCGGGTCCAAGTGGGCGGATGTTGTGTTAGCTAAGGCTATTTCCTCGCTCGCAGTCAATGGCGACTACAACATCAAAGAAGAATGCAACGTCGTTTCAAACTATGCGGGTTCGCCTGAGTGCATCAATACGCAATGCCATGCCCCAACATACATAATAGTTAAGAAACGAATGTGCTCTCAACCGGTGGAGCTATTGAGAACAAAACAATGACTGCTTTTCTAATATGAAAACTATACAATAGAAATAATTACATGCTGCAAATCAATTTTCAAGTGCTCCAGTGTATGAGAATTGACTTGCACATCATCTACATAAAGGTAAACGAATGATCATACGTCATTGACTGTGCAATACCGAATTGTACCGCACATCCATACAATGTAGCTTTTTTTTTTGGCTTGTTTATATACGTCCATCACACCAATTGAAAATAGAAATACACAAGTATACATATATTATATATATATATATATATATATGCAATACCGAATTGTACCGCACATCCATACAATGTAGCTTTTTTTTGGCTCGTTTATATACGTCCATCACACCAATTGAAAAT